ACGCAAAAAAGAGGGGGAGTCCACGCGAAAGCGCCACGAAGTATGCTTCGTTTTTTCCTCTCATTTTCACCTTTTGCTTTGTCTTGTCTTTACTCTCCACTTGTGTTGCCAAGCGAGCTTTTTCTTAAAGGAGGAGGAAGAAAACAATGAATGATGAAGGGAAGGGGGACGGATTAGCATTAGCTCATAACCTAGGTTTTAGTACTGGCTAATGAATAGTAGATTTAACAATAGCGAGGACCAAATTTGCCTTCACATTATTATAAGTATTAAATTCAATATTTGTAATATTTCGAGGATGTTAAATTTAAATTTATATTCTTTGTGAATCTACATAATTATACAATTTTTTATGTATCACGTATATTCCAAACAAATTTGGTTTTTGAAAAAAAATTAGGTGTTATATTGCATTTTTGAAAATTCATCAAATTAAATAGTAAACTTTAAAATTTAAAAACTTTAATGATATTACTCATTATAATAATAAATATAACTTATTAATATTTATGTCACAAAATAGTCGTGCAAGCTAAAAGCTTACTACTACTATTTTGATCATTACTGTTTGAAGCGCATACAGGTAAAACAAAGAAGACTTTCGTCTTCCTCATAAACTAACTTTTAAGCGCAGCTAATTTGTTGCCGCAATTAAATTGAACTGTCAATTAAATTTAAATTGCTAACTTTGGGCAGCTCTTAAACTAAGTCTAGGCATTATGTCATAGCCCAGGTAAAAAGAGTGACACCACCTGTGTGTAACCTTGGTTTTTAGTTTTGTTCTTATTCTTTTTAAACTCATATGTATTCCTAATAAAAACATATTTTCATACATATCTTTTATATTATTTTTGTATATTTTTTTTCTAATTTGAAATGATCCTAAAAATGTTTTACATTGAAATATTAAAATTTGCCTATTTCTGTCTAATATTTTAAAAATACATAGTGTTTCGTCCGCATTCCATATCAGTAACGATAACAAACAAAAATGGTATTATTCAATTTTTCAGCCCACACAGTACTGAATAAATAACTAATTGATTGCTTAATTATTTATAGAGCATTATATTTCCAAAAGCTTATAATTTCTGAACAATCTGCATTAAGTTTCAAGTACTTTACTTACTTGAATCGGTTGGGGATCATAGATATAAGCAGCTACTTTAGTTGAGCTGAATGTTAACGCATAGTATGACACGTTAAAAGGGCGGTGCAGTCTGTAAAAAATGGGAGAAAAAAGGCAACACCTGTCGATATAGCTAGGTACTTAGACCCACATACATATAGTATGCACATATGTACGCACGTGGATAATTCTAGAGGCTAGCTCTCTACATTTTGAGTTGATACCCAGGTGTGTGGTTGAGTGTGGGCATCCATTGAAGGGCTTCGTTGCGAAAATAAAACAAGTCAACAAAAACTGCAACCAGAATTGAGATAGCTAATACTAACAGCTGAGGTGACAATGATAGGACCGGATACAGCCCTTAAATATCCCAAAGCCCCAAAAGAATTTAGACTGATTTCTACCCTTCAAAACGTGCGAAAAAAGTTATTTTTATCAATAAGTTAAATTAAATCTAAGATTTATTTCTTTAGACGGAAGTTTTGCTAAAATTTGTTTGTGCGTAAGAACATATTTTAACAAAAAATAAAGTTATTAAATCGTCAAAATGTATTAATTTATAACAAAACAATTATAAATCAATTTATAAACCATCCTAAATATTTTAATTTATTTGAATCTTGGTAAACCAAATATTGAGGTATACGCATGGATTTCCCCTTTGCTTTTAACCCAACCGTCTCTGGGTCTTCAGAGTCTTCTAAAAAATGTAATTTCATCAATTAAAGTTATTAACTAAATTATTATGTGTTAGTCCAAACCTTTTATGGAATCTTTGCCTTGTCACTTTTCGGTCTTAGCATCATTTCAGTAAACGTTAGCGAGATCGTCCAGTTATTGTCTTGAAAGGTTCCCCAATGAATTCCATAGGTCTCCCCTGTGTTATTTCGTAGCCCATCCTCGTAGAATTTTCCATTGAGCATACTGTAATTTCATGAGGGTTAATAAATTGGCTGAAAGGGCTTATTGATCTAAAATATTTACCACTTAGTACAATGTTTGTACCACCATCCACCGCCATGTAGTTTAGCACAATTTACAGAACTACCATCATTATCCTTATTCTTTGTGCTGAACTTAAGGTGGAGTCCTGAATTTGAGAGTGAATCTCCGGCGTCACCAGAGAATTTTCCCAACGATTTTAGCTCATAAAACTCTTTTTCGCTTCAGCATAGCCCGTGCTTCCATTAATCATCTCAAGCTTTATCATAAGCTCGTATTGTCGTGACTTAGTCATGGCGTGAATTGACTCCAGACCATAAAAAAATTCTCCGTTTACGTCCCCGAATCCGTTCTTATAATCCGCCCAGTTTCGGTCGAAGTTTTCGGAGCCGTCAAAACGTTTTTGAATTGTAAGCCAAGTTCTTTCTTCATTATGTTTCTCCAATTCGGATATATTTCTTCTAAAAATTTGCATTTTTAAATTATCCTCCTGGATCAATTTTCGTTGTCTGTCGATTTCTTCATCTTTCATATTCATTTCCTTTTTAAAGATATCTATATATTGGGTTAGGTCATCAAAACTTGCGTTCCTGCTCTCTACCTCGCTTTCTAAATTCATAAGAGTTAATACTTTATCCCTGAACTCACTCATTCTAATATCATTGCTTTTAATTTCTCTTTGCAGCTCTGTAATATTTTGTGTCAAAGTGTCAATTTTAATATTTTGCTCCTGGACAACTGCACTTTGATTTTTATACCCGTTACTCGTAGAGTAAAAGGGTATATTGTATTCGTGCAAAAGTATGTAACAGGTAGAAGGAAGCGTTTCCGACCCCATAAAGTATATATATTCTTGATCAGGATCACTAGCCGAGTCGATCTAGCCATGTCCGTCTGTCCGTCTGTCCGTCTGTCTGTCTGTCCGTCTGTCCGTATGAACGCTGAGATCTCGGAAACTATAAAAGCTAGAAGATTGGCATTTTGCATGCAGATTCTGGGAGTTCCTACGCAGCGCAAGTTTATTTCAAAAAGGTGCCACGCCCCCTCTAACGCCCACTAGCCCTCTCTATCGCCCACAGTTTTGAAGCTATTATGAAAATAGTAACTGATATGTATTTGTTTCGTCAATACATATCGATTGGCCAAGTAAAAGTTTGCCACGCCCACTCTAACGCCCGCAAAACCCATTTAACGCTTAAACCTGTCTAGCGCCTACATTTCCGCCTTTCATGGCCAGTAGTACCAATATCTTGGGGTAGATGGCTCAATTCAATATACAATAGCTAGAGCTAGAGAGAGACGGAAGATGTGCTAGGCAGAATTGAAAGTTTTAGAAGGCCTCCACGTGGAGTTCCCTGGGTAAAAAACGGGAGCTAATTCCAGCTTCGAAAAACAAAAAAGGAGGCATATTTCTATTAAGTTGTTTAGCTGAGTAACGGGTATCTAATAGTCGAGGCACTCGATTATAGCGTTCTCTCTTGTTAATTTCTTCATTTTTGGCATCTATTATTGCTTCATTTACACAGATTTGGCCTTGCAAGTTATTTTCGGTCGTACTATAAACCTCGTGTTCTACATTCTTGGGAACTTCGCTTTCGTTCAACTTACATATGGTTTGGTTATTCAGCTGATTACTCTGGTCACTTATTATAACATCTTTGCTTTCAATTTCTCTTTGCAACTCTGTAATATTTTGTGTCAAAGTTTCTATTTTAATAGAGTGCTCCTGGACTTCTGCACTTTTATTTTTGATTTCTTCATTTTTGACATTTATTTCTTCCTTATTGGCATCGATCTGACGTTGTAGTTGATTAATATTATCTATCATTTTATTTACTTTATTTTCTCTTTTCTCCTTTTCCAGTTTGACATTACTTAGCATATCTTTACAGTAATTTTCAATAGTAGGGGAATCCTCATTCAAATTAAATGCACAAAGTTCACCATACTCAATACTAATAGTCTCCACCGAAGACTTATGCGGCAATTCTTTAACTGGATCTGCGCCGGCAAATAATATAAGCTTCAAAAAGCAAACCGACAGAAAAATCATGAAGTCCGACTTCATTATGCTAAACCAACGTTAACTTTGTTCTTAACTGAACTGAAATTTGCATAAGCAATTGCTAAGCATTTATATTAAAAATTCACTGAAGTTTTTTGGGTTTTATTCTCTGAAATCCGGACAAACACAAGAACTTCCAGGAATTCCAAGAATCATTATTTGAATGGAAACATTACTATGCAACGAACGAACACTAAACGAAAAAGTACGATCTAAATTTAAAATCAAAATCAAGATTTCAGAAAGATTTTTTTTGAGTTTTTGTCTTGAAGAAATTACTGTTTTGGTTTTTGTAAAGTTTTGAAATTTAAGAGCATTTTGGTAATGTCTCACCAATACTAGCCAATCAACTTTTAAGAAATCCATACTTAGTTACTTAAAATGCTTTGTTTTTTAATTTTAGATTGCTTTTTCTCTCTATGTACAATGTACATTGTACATAACTATTCCATGAAATTATCGAAATTCACAGAAACTCACAAAGGTCTGTTATCCAGAATTTTTATGATAAATAAATTTCGCGAAAACCCAGTATTAAGTAAGAAATTTAAGAAGGTATAATAACGATTACTGTTTGTTACTTATTTGCTATCAGTGGCATACACTAAAGGGGGCTTAGAAAATCATATTTTTATTCTTAAATGATGTTAAAAAGAGGAACTTCAATACAATTTTAGAAAAAGGAAGAAAATACTTTTTTTTGTAATTCTTATAAACTTTTTATTATCATTTTGATTAAATTTCAAACCAAAAACGATTAAAACGTTAAATAAATACAAAATCTGAGTGGTTAACTAAATTTTAGACGAACACATCTAAAATAACATTTTTTAGATAGTTTTAGATTAGTGAAAAATGTAAATCATTCTGAAAGTCCAAATCTGTTACACATTCTTATCCGAATCCCTTTTGGCTCTAATCATCATTTCAGCAAAGGTCAACGAGATCGACCAGTCATTGTTTTGAAAGGTTCCCCAATGAATACCGTAGGTATGGCTCAATTTTCGTCGGCCATCTTTTTTGTATTCTCCATTTAGCATACTGTAACAATATGTATTTATGTAAATGGAATTTAATTTTTATTTTAAATATTTACCTCTGTGAACAGTGTTTATACCACCAGCCACCACCGTGAGATTCAGCGCAATTTGAAGAGCTTAAGTCATTATCCCTATCTAGGGTGCTGAACTTAAGGTGAAGTCCTGTTTCTGAGAGTGAATCACCGGCTGTACCAGTGCATTTTCCCAGCGATTTTAGTTCGAAATACTCTTTTTCGTTCCCAATTTCGAAATGATCGTAGTGAGCATAGCCCGTGCTTCCATTAATCATCTCAAGCTTTATCATAAGCTCGTGTGGTCGTGAATGCGTCATGGCATGTATTATATCTAGACCGATAAAAAATTCTCCACTTGGGTCCCCGAATCCCTTCTTATAATCGGCCCACTTTCGGTTGAAGTTTTCAGAGCCGTCAAACCGTTTTTGAATAGTAATCCAAGTCTTTTCATCATCTTTGGTTTGGATTTGCCTCATTAACTGCGAAATATTTGTTTTAAAATTTTGCATTTTGATATTATCCTCCAGTATCAATGCTTTTTGTCTATCGATTTCTTCATTTTTATCATTAATTTCCATTTTGTAGTCATCGATAAAATGATTTAGGGCATCAATAGTTGCGTTCATGTTATTTACCTCGCTTTCTAAATTCATTAGAATTTGGCTTTGATCACTGATGGCGATTTTACTTTGCAACTCTGTAATATCTTCTGTCAAATTGCCAATTTTGTTAGCTTGTTCCTTGACTACTGCACTTTGTCTTCTAATTTCTCCGTTCTTGACATTTATTACCTCTTCATTGTTATCGATTTGATCACGTAAGCCCTTAACAGTTTTGTTCATATTATTTACCTCGCCTTCTATATTCTCTAGAATTTCATTTTGCGACATAATGTTTTTCAATTGATTTTTCAGCTGTTCCCTTTGATCACTGATTTGGGTCTCTTTGATTTTGATTTCACCTCGAGCCATTTCTAGCTGACTCTGCTTTTCCTTAACCTTTTCTGTCAAAATATTTATGGTATCTCCTTTACTCTTTTGTAATTCTTCCATGAGTTTAATATGATCTAGCAAAATATCAATTGCATTTGTTAAATTAAGAGATTCTTTCTTAAGAATTTCATAATCACTCAAGATAAATGAAATATGTCGATCTTTCTGATTACTGATCAAAGATTTCACTGGCACTTTTATAATTTCGTCTGCACCGGCTAGAAATATCAAGAGCCAAACTGGCAGGCAAATGATCAAGGACGACTTCATTATGCCAATCCAACCTCAAGTCTTATTTAAAATGCACTGAACATTAGGCATAAGTGTGCCCGAATTTATAGGAATAATCCGCGGTTACAAATAAATTATTTTGGCGCTTTATCCAAAAATAAATCAGAACACCAAATTTCTTACCCATTACTCATTATATTGACATTTTATATTTCTGTAATTTTTTTCTAATTTGCGATTAGAGACAGGAGTTAGTCAGCTTTTTGAAAAATGAAAAGCAAAATTAATTTAAAATTTCTTCCTTTTTCTTAGTTTTTGAAGCACCCAAAAGTATACATCTTTGTATAACCTCTAAAACAACACGTTCTTAAAACTCAAAAGTTCGATTTCGCACCATTCCCACTGAAAATATAGAATTACACAAAGCCAATTGAGACAGAAGTAAAGTAATTTAGAACCAAATAATTATTTCTGTGGAAAATATATTTTTGTTGTTTGATTAATGTAATTAATTACATGTAGGGGGGTCAAAAATCAAATAAAATTTGATTACGTAATATGTGGACAGTGCCATTATACGGGAGTGTCACAGAAATCTCTTTCAACCAAAGATGGTTGGTTTTGTGCATTGTTGTACGTAAGAAGAATTAAATTCTTGTAAATTCAGGTTGGATGCTTTACATCTAGTGATTAGATTCAAGTTAAAAGGTGCTACCAATTTGACCGCAGCTGTGCTTACATACGAACTTTAGATCTACGCGTGTGTGCATAAGTTGGTATGTAAAAAAAGTTCTAGGGCAGGTTATAGTTTTTACTCTTTTCCCGTTTTTTTTTTGCAAAAACCTCCAAAGTGAACATTAGATAATGAGCGGTGGAGAGCCCGAGAACGAGACAGCGATACCAGAGAGAGAGAAAGAAAGAGAGAGAGCGCGACTGATAAATCTAATGTTTGTCATGTGAAGCGAACCGCTTTTCAGGGCCTTGCAATTTTTATGCACTTATGACATGAAATTGCTTTGCACACACTCATAAAAGCTTTTCGACTCCCTCTCTCTCTCTCGCTTTGTTAGGGGGTGGAAAGGGGTTAGGGGGCGGAAAAGGGGGTGGCAAAGGGGTGAGTGCATGCGCACCATTCAAGAAATGCATTGCACTTGTCGCCCAACACGCGCACTAATACACACACAAAAACACATTTTCTGCCCACAGACTTACATAAACTTTTCCATAGAAAAAAAATATATATGTATATGTAAAAACCTTCCAAATGACGTCAATCGCTCTGTAAATTGTGGCTTTTGTTAACTGGTTGCTGTTGTTATTGTTATTTTTATTGTTGCTTTTGCCTTTCCATGCCAAAAACAGAAGTTTTTCGGCATTTCGAGTGGGCTGTGTGTATGCTCATTGGCATTTTTGGGCACCCAGTTTTTGGATCAGCGACTGTGAAATCAGCGCTATTTATGTTCGCTCCATCGATCTTTCCACAGCTCCAATTTTCCACAGTCAAATGTTGCCAAACTATAGAAATCAAGCTCTTCAAATCTAAATTTTGACTTTTAAAAAGTTCTTAAAATGTACATATTTCCTATTTATTCATTAGATTGATTTCGATAATTTTACTCTATGAATTAGTCTCTATAAAACCATGTTTAAAAATAATATTTATATTAGTCACATTTAGTAAATTCCATATTTATGTATTTCTCACTTCCAAAATAATAATACATCAACTTCAAGAACAAAATTATTAAATTATGTGTTTAATCATTATAAGTAAAAGTTGTAGACATTACCGTCCCGAATTTTGCAGAATTAAAGTATAAACTTAAATAATTATTTGTAATATATTTACATTGTTCATACAAATTTACAGTGTTTTAACTTTCAAAATAATTCAAACAACTATAATAGTTAAGAGAAGCTGTTAATATTTTATTTAAGTTAAAAAATAACTTCTTTAAATAAATTCTCCGGAATAAATTGACTTACATTTTATCTGTTGGTACTTTCCCGTTTTGACACACAGATTTCCCCCGTTTCATTTAGAACTGCTAGCGCCACCTGTGGGCCGCACTTGGCGGGTTTTCGAAAAGCAGAGCAGAAGGGCAGAAAAGCTGACCTTAATATGCATTAATTGTTGCAGCAGAGCGATTCTAATGCGCTCACTCTCATTTTCCTGGCTCGCTCTTGCCCCCTTTCTCTCTTTGCTCTTACTTGTTCTCTTCCCCCCACCCCCACCCCATTTTATTTTCCATTTACGTGCTTTATGCTTTTTTTGGAGCAACGCGCTGCTTCCATTTCCATTTCGATCCCAATTGTTTTTGTCGTTGTTATTGTTTCTTTTGGTGTGGGGGATCTTTTGTTTTGTTTGTTTGTCCTTCTCCACTTGTGGGTGTGTGTGTTTTAGAGATGGCACTGGAAGTCCAATGGAATTGGGGGAATGTTAAATCAATAACGATTAACTTGGGTTAGTTTTGTGATGAGGATTTTCACTTTAATAGGATGCACCGGTATTTTGGGCTCGATATTCAAGCAAACAAACTTTAAACCTAATTTTATATTTTCACAAGACCAGGCTTAAAAAAAACATGTGAAAATAAAAACTTTTTTTAATATTTATTTATTTTTTATTTCAAAGGAATTACAAATACCTAAAAAATATATAATAATATATCAAGATATATATTTTTCGTCAGTATATTGTTCATTTTAATATTCTTTAACTATTTTCCTTTGGAAGATTTCTATTCATCTAACCTAATATTTTCTTGTAAATATAACGGATATGGTTTGGTGTCACAGCACTTATTTAAATGATTTAACCTCGTGACACGATAAAGTTCCACCCGCCACTCAAAGCGTAGTGCATGTACCAAAATAAATACTTGTGCACGATATATGTTTATGTGGCTGACGTGTGGGGTTATTTGAATGGAGTAAGGGGGTTTTCCAGGGGCCGGTTTCGTAGGGGGACGCCTATGTGCGCCTATAATTATATGGTATATGGTATATATGGTATACATGTGCATAGCACAGCAATAGGTGTACATGGTTGTGTGGTTTTTGGTGGTTTCCCACTTCCAACCCCTTTTTTAACCCCACATTCGATCGATTTTTCCGCGCTGGAAAGTTGGAAAACCAGGGCAATTAATTTCCGACTCGATCATGCTACAATTATGATTGTTTTTTTTTTTGTCTTGTTTTCTATACTATTCTATTGCTTTGGAGCTAGAACATGCAATTATTTTAATGTATTCGACCTTGGGTACTCATGAATGTCAATTGGCACGTAAGTTCTCTATTAGCTATTAGCTTTTACCCGCAGCTCCACGCATCCAAATGCAAATCTCTATACACATAGATATATATAATTTTACGCTGCAAATCAGTCGTTTGGTATGCTAGCTTCGTTTTTATGGTTTTTTATGGGGGCTAGGCGACTCCCACCCACTCGCACATATTTATACAAATTAAGGCAGCGGGGGAAAAGTGCAACTCATTTGAATGGTTTCGCCTTCATTATGCAAATTTGCACGTTATTGCTGGCGAATATTTATTTGCTCATTATAAAAACATAAAGTTTTTTTGGCATTTTAGCAGTCATGACTTGCAAGCACACGAGCATTAAACGGGTTTCTAAATTTAATGTAATGATCAAGTTTTAACGGGCTAATGCATTTGAATTTCAAAATAAGAGGCGCCAAAATATCGATAGACGGGTAGAAGACTATCGGTAGTTTCATTGCATCTAGGTTTTGTTTATCTTGGGTAGCTATATAAAAGGGTGGCAGCTCTGAGAACTGTGTGTTTTTTATCAAAATAAAATATATTTAAATTCTTATAAAAACTGACTAATTTGAAGGCCAATTTATTTAATTAAATAAACTCGAATTTCTCCTATTCGTTTTTTAAGCCATTTTATATTTAAGGGCAACGTAAATAATTTCGATTGTAATAGTTGATGCCAAAATCTTAAATATACCAAACTTGTTTAACTCCAATGTAGTTGTTTAAAAATAAATATTTCAAACTTTGAATATAATTACCTCAAAAATGTAGGTTTATCTAATTAGTACTTTCAAACTTCAGGTGTTTGCGCGCCCAAAGCAAAGTCCATAGTGAAAAAAATCAATATATCAAGTGGCAGCTGTGCGAGCGGGACAACTAGCTGGCCCGAGCGGCGAGGCAAGGAACAGCCGATAAGGAGATGCCACCTAGTTGAGATATTTTGAGAAATTAACAGAATTTCGCGGATTTTTCTACTAAGGAAAATAAGTAAAGAAAAAAATAAAGTTTTAATTTAAATAAGGAATCAATTTTAAACATAGCACAAGTAGTTTTACCGTTTTTACCACCTTTTGCTACCTTTAAGCACCTTTGGACGGTCTGGCAGCGCCACACGAAAATGGCGAACACGAGCACTCCGATGAACGACGAGCTGAAAAAATAATTATTATTTTAAATTCCGTTTTGCCAGCGAATTTCGGTGCGTGCGCGAAAAAGAGTGCGGAAAAGCGCGGTTGGGAAAATTTCAATACAGCCCATTATGAAGCGGTCAAAGTGCGGCGCCAATGGTAATGGTTAGCCAAATGCAAAAAATATGTAGCGACAGCGTGCCAGAGCCCGAGAAAATCATCATAGAATAAAATTAAAGTTTCTGCTTTGCGAAT